TTTGATTTTCTCTGCGTTCATTGCCTCAGCCTTTTGCCTTTAGGAGTAGTTTTTTCTTATGTGAGATGTTAGGTACCTACTGTCCATTCTTTCCCCTTAAGTATTATATTTTGTAGGTATGCCTAAAATGCAGTTATTTTCATCTGTGCACTATGAAACATAGAATCACAGAATACCAGATTGGAAGGGACCTCGGGGATCATCTGTTCCAACCTTTCTTGGCCAAGCAGAGATGAAACCCATGTGTTCACTGAGTTGACTTACACGATGTGGTCATTTCCTTCCCAGGAACAAGACTTCAGACAGACCTTCTTTCTCTGATGTCCAACTCTAGTCATGTAACAATGGCTTTTGATTATTCCTGAGCCAAGCTGGATGCCGACGGGTGAAATCATTTGTGGCATGTTATCAACTACTTCAGTTCACTTCTGCTAAATAATGAAATCCAGTAATAAATTGAACAGACAAGCAAAATCTCTTAAACATGCTCTGGGGGCTCTACCTATTTTATTTCTTCTCTCATGATATTTCTTTTCTCTATGTGTGAGCTGCTGCCAGCACCAGCATTTGAAATCAGCCAACCAAAGAAACTCAAAAATACTGCAGTGTGTCTGATAAAGAAAACGTGTGAAGCTGATCACAGTGTTCTTGACTCCATTTTTTCTGACTTATTAACTTGGAGCTGGAACTGGAATTCCTGCAGGATTGACGCATAGTGAATTCTGGCTGTATACTGGGGCAAGATAAGTAATTTCCAAAATCTGAAAAATTGTTGGACTTTTTCTGCTATTTTTCTTTCTTTTTTTTCCATTCCTTTTTTAAATTATTATTTCCTTTCCCTTTTTTTATATTTTTTTTAATTTTTTTTAGCAAAATTTGCATCTCCAGCTTGTTGGAGGTACTGTTTTGGATAGTTCAAAATCTTAAAGGAGACAAGGTTTATCTCTCACAGATGAAGAAGAAAATCAGCATTGCATGGGAAAGCATAATCTGTAATGCAGCCTGTCACGGCATGAGCTCTTTGGCACAACATATGGCAACAGAATTACCTTTGTACTACCCAACTGTGGGATATAATTTATCCAGTCCAAGGGACTGTGGTGACAGGCAATAGATTTGCTAGCGCATGTTCAGCATGCTAAAATGCAAGGCTGTCCCTTTTTCTCTGAAATGCAGAGCTCTGTGGCACTGCAGAGCAATTCCGACTATTCCTGGCAAATCCTTGTTCTCCCCTTCTGATGTCACTTATATAGTGACACCCTGCGATAGTAATAAAAGGGGATGTGGTAATGTAACTGTTGGAGAAGAATGAAAAAAGAGTGATAAACTGCAACTTTTACAGTGTGCACTGTCAGCTAAAGAATGAAACAATTTTAGGCTTGAACATCAAGGACATGGAATGTGCTTGGAGATTTATGCGACAGCACCACTCCAGGTCATTTTATGGTATCATTGTTTCAAATACCTGGAATTAAAACAGTGTAGTACAGCATTACTTCAATAATTCTGCTCACTGGTGAATTGGGATTTTTATTTGGGAGATAAACTATCATCACTGCAAACATGACCAATAGAATTTTATGGTTGGGTTCTGGTATTTTTAAGATTATTTACTTGCCTTTTCACTTTTTGCCTACTCTAGAGGTTTAAATATGCAGACTATATTGACCTTCAGTAGGTCTATTAAAACTAAACAGAGTTGCCATCTTATTTCTTGTCAGTAAAACAAAATTCTGAGGTGCAATTTCTCTGAAAAGTCCTAAACTATCCATAAATGTGTCTCAGAAACATTGGGAAAGATCTTTAAAATTTCTCAAAGGTAGGTTCGATGTCATAGATCTAGTACTGAATGTCTAATAATAATCAGTCATCAGCTAAAATCCAAATGTGCTTTTTGCCTTGGCAGTAGTCTTTTCTACAAGCTTGGAAGATTTAATTTGAAACAATTGTACTTGGTATTCTTCATTGAGAGTACTTTAATGCCATAAAAACCATGGCTGGTTCTGTTAGTGTATAGGGGCTTGCTAGTTTTTCTGACATTGTATTTTTCATGCTTGGGAAGAGTGCTGGTCAGCCTTTTGATGAGATGGGTATTAGTAGATTTTACTAACATTGGATCTCGAGTAGAATTCTGTTGGTGGTCAGTTGAGCCCTCTCTGCTGAATAATGATTTTAGTGTTAATATGAACCATAAATAGAGTTTAATTGAGAAGCGGAATAATATGGAGCAACTGTCAAGGTGTGTTGGGGTGGAAGGGAAGGATGATAACAGAGAAGCTGATAAAGCATTCAGAAAACATCCGTGTGAGCAGCATGTCGTGGCTTGCTGCAGGCAGTGTTCTGTTCTGAATTGGGAAGAGGAGATGGAGATGGGTGTTGCTGGGGCTACTTTGAGGCTCAGAGACAGCAAGTTCAGGCAACGGAGCAGAAGGGTTTCATCTTCACACTGGGCTTCTTGCAAAATGCCCAGCTTAGTATTGACCTCCACCCTTAGGTCAGTATTGAATCAGTACTTCTGGGTTTTTAAGACAAAAATAACAACAAAAAAAGTCATTTTTTTTTTTTCTTTGTCTTCTTGAAGATGTGTTTGCAAGGACGAATTGGGTTAGTCCAGAGGAAGAGCCCTGTGACATACTTTAATTTAAGACAGGGAATTAAGAATTGCTGTCCTGCTTGAAATAATATAAGCACAAAGAATCTTAGTTTGGAAATGAGATTTATTTTTTTAGAGGGGAAGCTTTTACTTCTTATTGGAGGTGAACATTCTGTGGCAGTATTTTTGATTTAGTACACGGTGATTTTCTTTTTATGGCACTCATCATGTGGAATGCTTTAAGTCTTTTTTAAGCAGCAGATACTTTTTAAGCAGCACATACTGTGGGTTTTCTTAATCCTTGATTTTGAGATAACTTAACAATATAGAAATATTGTTGCCTTGTCAATCAATACCAGACTTGATTGTCTAATAGTCTTGATTGATGCTCAGCTTCAGGACAGATAGTATATTTTGAGAGGACAAAAAAGTTACTAACAGTTGAAGATGGATATTTCCATTTCTTAGGTCACTAGTGATGCCAATGCCAAGCAGGTTGGCAAGCATGTTCAGAGGGCTTTTAAACTTTTTTTTCCTGCAGTGATGTGAGTGATAGTAGTTCAATAGCAATTCCTTAGCTGGAGTTTGAAGTTGAGAGATTTCCAAGTGATCCTCTGTACCTACTCTGGGGGTTTTATTTTCTAATTTCTGTTAGTATTAGATCCATTCATTCTAGTGTGGCCAGAGTTAATAGTGAATTACGGTGAAGCAATTACCTAGAGAACAAGTACTTATAGTTGGTAGGTTATAAGTGGGAATAATGAGGGATAGACGAGAGCAATTCTGGCAGTGCTTATGGGTGTCAACCTGTTAGCAGAATGTAATAGTTTCAGGACACTTGGGAAACATTCAGGCTGCCATACAGCTGCTTCAAAGGGGTAATGCAGAAAAAAGTCTGTACTTCCCAGCAGTCGCTCATTCTGAGTCAGTTTGCATTCAGTCTAACCCACTGGATGGCCAGAATCTGTGTGTTAATAAATCATTTTCCTAAATTAATGTATCCTAGTTGTCGTGGTTTAAACCCAGTCAGGTAACTCGTTCACTCACTCCCCCCCTTTCTTGCCCTCCCCCTGCTCCCGGAGGGACGGAGAGGAGAATCGGAAAGAATGCAACTCCCACGGGTTGAGATAAGAACAGTTTAGTAACTAAGGTATAACACAAATCACTACTGCTACCACCAGTGATAATAATGATAAAGGAAATAACAAGGGAAGAGAATACATCATCTCACCACCAGCCAACCGATAACTCGCCCCCCCCAGCCCGACCACGCTCCGACCGATACCTCCTCCAACCCTGCAGTCTCCCAGCCCTTCCGGCTAACTCCCAGTTGCATCCTGGGCATGACGTGCTGTGGTATGGAATACCTCTTTGGTCAGTTTGGGTCAGGTGTCCTGTCTCTGCTTCCTCCTGGCTTCCCCTCCTCCCTGGCAGAGCATGAGGCTCACAAAGTCCTTGGCCAAACCAAAACATCGCTTGTTATCAGCTCTGTTCCCGAGCTGAAAGTCAAAACACTGCACTACACCAACTACCAAGAAGGGGAAAAATGACTGCTACTGCTGAACCCAGGACACTAGTGTTAAAAGCTTGGCTTCAGGACAGTCTCAACGGTATCTCTACTCTGACAGTGCTAAGTTGCTTAGCATATCTCACACTTAGTTTTAATGGGATTCATGAAGTAAATGTTCATTATTTCAGCTGAGCTAGAATACGTTAAATGTGTCCCCTGGTGTTTACTGTTACCCTTGCACTTCAGGTGCAACACCTTTGTAATTCAGAAGTTTCACCAGGATGTGAATCCCGATAGGCAAAAGATAAAGGTGTTGCGAATTTATGTGCCTTATGGAGTACCTGCTACCCACCAGGAAGGGTTTTTTTACCCTGATGCCTTCCTCTTGTATAGAGAGTTGGTCACTGGACCCAAGGGAAGTGGGAAGAACAGTGATGCCACTTAGACTACAGAATCTCCTCATTTTCCCAGACATCCTTTTTGGCCAGCAAAACCAGGGTCGGGTCATCTCACCATAGCAAGGGATTTTGGCTCTCTGATAGTCATGTGCCCACGGGATTACCAGGTCCAGCAGCTGTATTTTCATAGCTTTGTGATTACAGCACTTGCTTGGTCAGGGTCAGCCTAGTCTGTAGTACTGGATCTCTCTTTGGTGGGTTCTTTTTATCCAGGTCTTACTGTGCTAAACACACAGACCTGTAACTCCCTCCCTACATGAATAGCTGGATAATCACCCTCTGTCTGGTCTCCCTGCTCCTCTCTCCCCTTCCTTCAGTAAAACCAACCAACCAACTAGTTTTCAATGGGAGGCATAGAGACAGAAATGGTAGAACCTTTTTTTGTGGTGTTTTTTTTTTTTTCCCCTGCAGTGTATGTGTAGTCCTATTTCCAACATGTCGGATGTGAGTGTGATCAGAAGAACATGAGCAAGTTCAGATAATTCCCAGATGGCTTGGCTGTGTTCAAAGGTTTGTTCTTTTCACAGTGTTTGTGTTAAGAGGTCAAAATTTCCATCAGTTTATACTTCAGACACCTGAATCTGAGGATGTGTGTGTGTTTGCATGTGCACACACGTGTGTGGGCATAGTATGTGTTTTGTCTTGTTAAAAAAAAAGGCAATATACAGTATTCACTTAGTTGTTCAATAGCCATCAATTCACATTAGGTTGCATTCAAGGACAACAGTCTTCCTGGTTTGGTGTTTTTTTTCATCTAAATCCAGTATTTAAATAAAATACTACAATCTCGTCTTTAATCAGGAAGGCACATGGGCAACATACAGGACTATAGAGGGTGCTGTTCTGAACTTTGACTTAGCTGACCTGCAAGAGACGGTTCCATTCTCCATGCAGTTACTAGAATACCGAGTGCTGTTCCATATTTGAGTGTAGGAGCCATTGTTGAGGCAGCATCCTGCCTGCAGCTGGCTCATGTTCAGCCGGTGTGAACATTGCATAAAAGAAGCTTGCATGAGCTTGCAATATGCAATACAGAGATACCTGAAAAGCCAGCGTGATATAAAAAGGAGAGAGACCAGAAGAATTGAAAGTCTTTGGTATATTTGGAAACCAGGCCGCTCTTGTTTCAATTTCTGTCTGTAGATTGAATTTAGATATTCATATATGAAAATTGGGAAGCATTTATATCTTCTAAGCCTGCACTGTGAGATGAAAGGTTCTTCTTTAAAGAACTATTTTCCCTGTCCTGCTGCTTTTAAATAAAAGCAACCCTTTTCAGTTTATTGGCTTTTTTTCCCCTTGGTTTCCTCTAACAGATGATACCCCCTTCACACTAACTACCTGTATAATACCTGTTTGTGGTGAAAGATAGCAGTCTCAAGGGATGCACATCAATCATGTGAGACAGAGATGGGATCCTGTTATGACACACAGCTGTCAGAACATACACTCTACACATATTAAAATGAAGTCAGCTGCAAAGTGCTGTATGTACATGCATTACCCCAGAATTAATATTGGTACCCAGCAATATCTGTCTAATCACACTGCACCCTACCACTTCACTACATGGTATTGCTTTGTGTTGAGGTCTTCTTTCTGTGTTGTTAAATCAAACTAAAACAATAAATAAGCTTAAAATTGATCATTACTGCTCTGGAAACAGTTGTTTAACTCCTTCAAAGTCTGTTTACATTTGACATTTCTTGAGCAGAGTACTTTAGAGATAGATATCTTTTTGTAGATCTTCAAACTGAAACTCAAGGCAAATTCAAAAGACTGCAGCTCTTATCAGGGAACTTTGAAAACAGGATTACTCTGCTTTGGTCTGAAGTTATAGTCCTGCATTTTTGAACACTTCTAGGTGACTTTTATGGTTTTAGATCAATAAGAGCTGTATGGCTGAATCTGTGCATGCTTGTTTTGAAATTGTGCAGGCTTCAGCCTATTGCTTCTGCCTCACTATAGTGAACCATGCAGAGCAGGGCATTGAGATCTGTTGGTTTTTTCGTAGTCTCAAAATTTTAAAGCAGTTCAGGTGTTCCTGGATTATACTGTCTGCAGGCAACGTCTCCATTTGGGATGAATGTGGTAATGAATTTCTTCTGGAGATGTATTCTGTGGTTGAACCTGGAAGGCATGTCATGGGGCTTGTCCAGTTTTAATTTGAGCGCTCTGGAGTTCAGCCATGTCTTGTTGCACTAGAATAGAAAATAAGCATTTATTCCCTTACTGCTTTTTCTGAAACTGCTGCTGCTTGGTTTCCAATGAGGGAGTTAGAGAAAATGCTAAGTAAATACAGACTTAATGGGACTTTCAAGAGCCTTGTAAAGAGCACGTTTTCCTACTAATTGTTAACTTTCAGGTGCATCTCAGCCATAAATAACTTGGGAACTACAGTAAAACTCCTTGTTTATGTTTTACTCTGCCACTAACAACTAAAATATTGGCCATTTACTTGGACTGCAGTGTTCTTGCTGTCTTGCTGTCCTTCCACAAAGATGGCAGTGGTCCAGCTGAACTCATTTGCTGGAACTGTCTTTCCTATAAAGTGCTCATTCTGTACTGGTGCGTGTCACTGGGAGCTACTTGTCTTGGACCAAACTACTGTTCCCTTGCTCTAAAAAACCAATCTGGCTCTATTGAAGGAATGTGACCTCAAACTGTGCATTGGCACCAGGGCACATGCAGGGGAGAAATGCTGGCTCTGGAGCAGAACTTAAAGTCCAAACTGGGTGATTCCATTCCTTTGTATAACCAATCTTCCCCCTGCCTTACAGATGATGCCAGAACTTTAGATATCAGTTCTCAATGAAAGACTGTAAACATCTATAAACAGATGTCAGTGAAAACAAAATATTTTTAAAGTGAAAAAATGAGAACAAATACAAGCCACATAAATCACTGTTACCATCACAGATTTACGTTGATACTTTTACTATCAGGATTTTACTGAATACTGCATATTTCCTCTCAGATCAACGGGTTTACTGATTTACACCTCTGGAACAGACTTTTGATTGCAGCTTCCCCAATACTGTGAATATGTATTTGTTTCAGTAAGGACGCGGGTGTGTGTAAAGCAATGCTTTCTAAACCATTTTTATTTGTTGTGTCCAAGAAGACAAACAACTCTTGGGGATACTGTGGAGTGTCCCTTAACAAGGTTCAATATATTCCAGCTTGCATTGCTAAGCTACTCTTGTAGCCGTCCTTGGGTTGCCAGTCCTTCAGAGCTTTAGAGCCCAGAAGCTCTTTGTTACATTGAAAATATAGGTGGGCAAAATGTAATTTAATATTTTTTTATGAAAGTGTTCAGAGAGCTAATATTGCAAATGTGCAAACACGGGGAGGGAAAGGGGAGAGCCGATGAAAGGAAAGAATCGTAAATAGGCTACTCAGTAACTGTTAATTAGAGCAAAAATATTAATTAAGTATTAGGACAGCATGGTGTAAATTAGAATCTTTTACATATTTCTGCGTAGGGAATTTTGTGCATTGAAGACTTTTGTAATAGTCAAAATCTCAATAGATTTTTTTAACGTTTATTAGAACTTGCAATCCATGGTGGCCAATGTCTGGCATAGCTTGATTTTAATAGAATGAGATCTGGATTGAATTTCGTGCCATTGTCTGTTTCATAAAAGATTATACTAGAAGCATTCTTTTTAGTGTGTTTCTGAATTGTTGTAAAAAGGAAATAGTAAAAAACCCCATTACTTTCAAGCAGAAGAAAACAAATGTTTTGCCTACAGCAAGAAACATCATGAGGGTGCTTGTTAAACTATTTGCAGCATCTATAAACAATCAAAATACACTACAGCTTTCCACACAATTTTATTTTGGTCATACATTAAAGAAAAATCACTCCAAGAATAAGCTAAAATGCAGGACAGGTTTGTCAACATCTTTATGCAAATGCAGGGATACCCCACCTCTAAAACAGCTTTCAGAAATGCTTGGTCAAGGGAAAAAGGGTTCCTTAACCCTTTTCTATTTTCTGCACATGTGTGTGCTGGTATTGGTTTATCCAGCACTACTAACCCCTGAAGAATTTCATATTTTAATATATCTTAAATTTGATGTAAATAAAACTTTGAGATGATGTTGTTTACTACCTACTTTAAAGAAATCCGCTACAAGTATTTTGTACACACATTGTACACAGAATTGGCCTCAAAGCAAGTCCTTATGTTTGTCAATGTATACGTACAGTTTGACTTTGTGGAAGCCTGCTCTGCTTGATGGGAAATACAGTGTCATGTGTTCAGGCAAAGAGGACAACCACAGAGAAAAGAGCAGTTGCACTCTATTTGTGCAAAGCCATGCCTGTTATTTGCCCTCGGTTCCCTCCATCTGCCTTGGCCTGGGAGATGGACTGAGCTCTGCCTGCAGGCAGGGTATGGTCTCGCTTTGTGGGTAGTGTAAAAACTTTGGCTGGCCTTCCCTGCTGCCAGCACGGTGGCTTCTCCTCGCCTTTGGGGACAAGCTGTGTTTCACACCCTGCTGTGCCCATTGCCAGAGGTGATACAAGAACATGGAAAACCTACACTGTGTTTAAAAGGGATATATGAAATACAGCTTTGACAATCTGCCTTGCCTGAGTGAGGAATTCTGTTTAGTTCATTTATATGTTTGATTTTGAAGGAAGGGAATATTGTTGTTTAAAGGTGTTGATCGACTTCCTTTGTTAGTAGCCCTAACAGCGTTCACTGCCTGCTTCTGAAGGCCATCCTGAGCAGATTTACCCATGCTCTCCCCCAGGGAGCCGCCAAGGAGGGAGTGCAGGAAGGCAGTCTGCCTTCTCCTGTGATGATGCCTTGGCAAAAAAGATGCTGGGAGGAGAGATGCGCAGTGGGTTAGAAGGAAGGGAGGTTTTCTTCCCTGGTAGGGAGCTTCTCTGGGAAGGCAGGTACTGCTGTTAAAGCACTTGCTTCCTTTCACTGTGCTAGCAAGGGCTTCAGGAGAAATAAGGGGCATCATCTGGGACTCCAGGGCAACAGAAAGGCTTTGAATGGAAAAGGATATATTCTGCGTATGGTTTTCTAACATCTTGTTTGTTGTTACAGTTCCTGTTCAAGCCCTTCAGCCTGGATTTTGCTCATTACTAGGGTGTTTTTTTTTCTTTGCTTTTTTGTTTCTCTTTCCAAAGCCTTGCCACTTCCACCTGCCCAGGTCAGATGTGAAGCGGAGCTGCAGTATCTCTGATTTTCATGGTATATTACTGCTTTCCAAAAATTGGTATAAAACTGCAGGACTGTCTGTCCCATTTGAAAAATGTGTCTGCTGCGCTATCTGTCGAATCCTTTCTACAGTATTTTCTCCTGTAGAAAATCATTATTTCTTCAAATGACATTGAGGGAATGTTGGGTCTGACAGTGCCAAGTACACCACCCTGCCTCATTGTTGAAAAGCACCTTGAGAAAAGAGATTGATCAAGGGCAAAGAGAAAAAGTTAAAAAAGGTCCTTTTTATATTTCTGGGAAGCCTGCCTTCATCTTCCCTTCCTCCGTGCTCATTTTAGGAGGGCTCTGGTCCTTCCCTGCACAATCTGAAACAAAACTATTGTTCTTGGAAATGATAAATATGCCTCTTTCATCTCAAGTGAGGACTGGAAAATTGTAATGCACAATATAAGCTATAAAATATTAATTCACAAGAAACAAGCAGTGTGTTCCCCTGCGAGATTGAGAGATTACCATCAGGCTGAAAATCTTGCAGGATAACCAAGGCTTATTTGGGAAGGAAAAGTACTTTCAGAAGGCACATTCTATTTGCTGTCTCAACTCTTCATATGATCGATACTTGGAAATGCATTTAGTTTTATGGATGAAGTTTATTGATTAGTGAAGACTTGCCACTAAGGCCTGGAGAAGACGTCGTTCAAAAATGTTGCTACAGGCTTTCTCCTTCAATGTGTTGGCTGGATAACAAGCAAAAACTGTTACAAAAATTGCAAATGATGGTACTTGACACTAATAAGAAGCCTTATTTGGGAAAAAAAATGTGGGTAGAAATCAGTCATTAATGGTTATTATGTTTAACAGGTAGCAAGATCATCTCCAGGCTCCAAAATCTTGTGTTCCTCTGGAGCGCACGAAACTGCAGCAGTGAGCACAGAGAACATTGCCTTGTTCAGTGTCTACTGGCAAATGTATCAGAGAATCCCAGATTGCCAAATCCGGGGCTTTTCCTGAGAATGTGGGAGAGGCTCAGCTGAGGGAGGTGTTTCTGCAGGTTGTCTACAATGTATCAGAAAAGTCCAGGCTGTTGAACAGGTAAATAAAAAATTATCTTTTTTGTTTCCTGGCAAGTTAAAAAGAAAAAAAAAATAATCTTGGGAGGTTGTTACCAAACTGATTTTGCTTTTCAAATATGTTTATCATTAGGGTTTATTAAAAACAGTGGTGAAGTTGGACAGAAAAGGATGATTTGGATAAGATGTAGTAAGAACGTAATTTTAAAGATTAAAATGAAATGTTTTGTCATTTTTGGAAGAGAGTTTGCATTAGCATTCCAGTGTGAACACTTAGATGTATTTTATGTAGATGATGTATCCCAGAATAAGGGTTTGGCTCCAACTTGCGGTATGGTTGGTACCGGCTAGGTCCATAGGTTAGCCAATATTAGGTCTTCTGCAGGTTATTTCTGTCAAGAGGCAAAACTAATGATAATGCTGTTAATTTAAAAGGAAACACAGGAACAAATGTAGGAATCCGTGTCCTCTTCTCCAGAACTGACAGTCGTACATCTGTATGCTTACTCAGCCCTATTCTGTCTAATTTACAGGCAATATATCCCGTCCTGCTGTGGCTAACATATTTTAGATGTTTTTCTAAAAGGAATTTAATTTCCTGCAACCTTCCCAAACATGTTACATTCTCTCAGTATTAACTTTTCTGTATATTTAAGTAAATAAATGTGTTGGGCTTGATTCATTACAGCATAGCTTTACAGTGGTAAAATTCAGTTGTGGTGGGTGTACAGTAAAGTGAAACAAATGCTGCAAATATGCTTAGGTATGTTGATCAGAAAGGATGAAAGTTAGAGAAGCACAAGGATTTTGGCGAGTAATTATAAATATTCCAAAGCAGAAGCCTTGGATGCTGAGGCTTCTCAGTGAACTTCAATACTAACCTCGTTCTTACTTTTGACGTGTTTCATCTTTTTTGCTCAGCCTACTGCATCTGAATAATGAAATAGTGACTCTGACACTGAAGCACTGATTTACTCTTCTCAACATTTCACACATTTTCCTCAATTTTGCATCTGTTTTCTTGCTGGCAGCAATGTCTTCCATCAAAACTGTCAGTGTTTCTTAAAGCCATGAATTTAAGAAAAAAAATAGGGGAAAAAATCTGCAGAACCTCTGAAGTGAGTTTCTTTACTTCAGAAGCACTTCATCTGATAGTTTTCTATCAAGAAGATATACAGTAGAGATAGTTGAAAAAGAAAAATGGCAATTTGGGAGATCACTAGCTAACGTTACGTGCTGCCTGCTCTCAGCAAGGTGTCAGTGTTGCCAGGTACAAAGCTTTTGGGATGGAACCATTATGCTGTTTATGTTACAAGAGGACAAAAAGTGGGGAAGGGTTAGGGCTAAATTTCCATTTCTAAAATGTGCCTGTCAGGAAGCTGATGCAGGAGAGAACCAAGTGCTCTAGAAAATGCTCTTAGTTCTCTCTTGGATACAATAATATGCTGTGCTATGCTAAAAGCTTATGATTCCTTTGATTACTGGAAAGAACATATTTTAAGTAGGGTGTTCTCAACACAAACTGTAGCCGGGACACAGAACGCCACAGAAAATCATGCTGATTAACCAACGAGAGCATACCTGCAACTGGTGAACTGTGTAAAAACTTCCATTTCCTCAGCTCTGTGCAACTTTTCTTAACTCTCTTAACCTGTGAGAGTCTGCCAGACAGAAAGAAGAAACAGGAAGGATATTTGGGAAAGTTGTAATAGCTGTGAAGATCAGAGAGAATTTATGAAATATATATAATTTGAATTTTATAACCTATAAATCCTTAATGATAATATTGTTCTATGCTTCTCAGTTTAATAATCTACTATAACTTTTACAGTTCATTACAATAGAAACTAATTACACTATTCTCACATTTGTCATCAAGTAGAAGACGTGGGAAATGAAAACAGGCAGACCCTTTAGTGGCATAAATTTAGAATATATAAGTTTAAACAAGAAACTTTCAGGGTGTTGGAGTACACCTCGGTGGGTGTTCTTTTCAATTTCAGGATGTTTCTTACTGTCTCTAAGTGAGGAGAACTTTAAAAGAAGTATAAAATAGAACTCCAAAAGTAGTTTCCAAATACCTGAATTCAGGAAGTAATAATACTAATAATTTTCTTCCTTGCTTGCTAATGATAGCAAAAGGAGATACCAAATAATTCTTTGGGAAGAGAGAAACAGGGTGATTAGAGCTGATGTGGAGAAGTGGCTGTGAAAACTGGAAATACATTTCTCCAGAGAATCAGGTTCATAAATCAGAATGTCAGGCAAATATTAGGGAACTGGTCCACAACCATTCATTTGCAAACTGTATTAAAAAGTTTTGACTTGTGATGAGACATCACATTCTTCAATTCTCTAGTATTTTCAGATCACAGATGATGACAGCTGTTGTAACAGAAAATGATTAAGTAAATTGCCTGGAAATGTCATTAGAGTGTCCAGCCTCAAATGGCAGGAGAGGTGAATGGCATTTTTTAGAATGTCCATTTTCATTACTGTTATAACTTTGCTGTAGCTGAGGCTGCTCCTAATCTTATTGTGTCCTAGTTGTCATTTCAAAGTTGGCAAGAAAAGGGTCACAATTCGCACATTCTTAGATACGTATTGGTGTGGATATGTAACATTTTCTTGATCTGTACTATTAGATTGTGCTTATTTCATTTTCAGCTTGCAGCTTAGAGTTGGAAATTTGGGTTTTTTATGACCTCTGGGATTTTAAATTACTCATTTTCTCATGGGAAGGTATGTTGTCAAGTGCACCTTGAATATATGTTAATAAATTTGATGGACATTTCTTTCTATTCTCATAATCAAGAAGTGAATTTCCCTCACCTAGAAATTACATCCTTCCTAAAGAAACTAGAGACAATTGGAGATAAAAACATACTTTTGGAAATGTGAGACGTAACTGACAAATTATTGTTGAGATTCACATTGAAAAAGAAGACTCATCTTAAAAAGAGCTTCCAAATTAGTACTGAAACCTAATGCCTAAAAGAGCTATTGCAAACTGTTCCCACAAAATCTCCTGCTGCTACTATGTTTCAAGAGACAGAAAATGGAGAAGAATTAACTTCAGAGAATAACAACACTGTTTTCTGGAATAAAAAGGAAGGAGATTCTTAGTTCTTTTAAGTGTGAACTTCACTCTGCTGTTTCAGGGCAGTGTTAGTCATGTTACTTCAAATCTAATTTTGTGGAGCATAGTCACATGCACCATTTTGCCACTTAATTTTTTCCTGAAATGGCTGGCATGGATAAGATAAGGTTACTCATAAGATCATGTTCTGAGCCAACCTTACAGACCACACAGAATTTTGTACAGAAAACTACAACAATGTAAACCCAACATCATTACTCTGTGTAACCTCGCTGCCACGGCAAAGGTTTTCTTTTGTTCGAAACTGGCTGGTTTATCTTATTCTAAATTTCTGAGCTGTACACAGCCTTTCACACGTTCAATGTGAAGGTGAAAACCAGGATCTCACAAATGATCCTACCGTGCCTCTGCTCAAAGAACAGGGAGATCTATAACGGTGGCAACCAGCAAAGGGTTAGAGAAAAATCCTAAAATGTCAGAGAGACATCTCCACTGACAGATAAATTTTCCATTGCAGCTTTTGGAACCCCTTTGCTTTCAAGGAGCACCAAGCCATGGGATCACTGAAGCCCGTCCCGTTGAAAGAAGTTAGTCTGTATTTTACCCTCTTGTCAGTGTATTACTTAACTGTCAAAAGATGCTGAGTGGCCAGTGAAGTTAATTTTAGCAAATCCACAGAAGGTGAAAAACCCTGTGTATTCTATGCTTTCTATGTCATATGTTGTAAAGAATCTCCAGAGTTAGAAATGCATTTGTTATACTTTCAGAAATGAAATCTTTTGGACTGTTTAGCTGTTATCAGCTTTAGTGCCAGCAATTTTTTTCCCCTTGGTGATTTTAATAGTCATAAAATTAACATTAATGACTCCATACCCACTGAATTTCTATTACTGTTTGGATTCATTACATCTATAACATATTCAGCTCCTCAGTCATTTTTTCAGTCTCATTGGTATGGTGTAACATTTTTCCAGTAAATTGAATAGCTACCTAATCTCTCTTTGATCATTTTATAGTAAACTATGAAGTTTATTTCCAGAAAGCAGATTGTTAACTGTGAAAACCCTTAAATTATTTTATCTCTGAGAAACTATTTTTAATGCTGATTTAGTTGTCAAGTCTTATTTTTATATGATAGTTTTAAATAAGCTTTTCAACAGGTTTCCAAGCATGCGCCCCTACCTCATGTGGCTTTTGAACTAAAAATATGATGGTTGGTTTGTTTCCTGATGTTTTTCCTGGAGTACAGGAGATGCTGTATGTTCAGGAATAATGCTTCTCACTGACTTCTTATTCCGTTCTTGTTGCAAGGGCGTCTCCCTCACCCAGTTATGTTTGACCCTGGCAAACAATGGGGAAGGTGGAAAGAAAAAGCCATCTGAGGCAAAATGTACACAGTGGTTCTTTGTGTGTGGGGCTGAGAAAAGATGAGGGTACTGCAATGAAAGGCTGATGAGAAGAATATGCCACAGAGGTGCTGTAGAATGCTGAAGTGTGATTCTCTTTGTTAAAGAGACTACTTGGCTCAGCAAGAGTAAGCTTTGTATTCTTTATTCCAGAGTTGGAAGAGTTGGTTTTTTTTTTTCTCTTAAAAAGCAAAAAAAAAAGTAGTGGAGGATGGAATAGGACTACATTTTATTGATAGTTTACATTAACCAAACCTATCCATGATAACCATTTCAGTGCATCCAAGGCTGGATGCAGGTTTTCCAGCTGTCTTGCTGTTGCAAAATATTGTTCCTCCGTGAACACATTTCCTCCTCACATTCCCTTTTTCCATTAAATCAACTTTGCTGCTTCTTTGTACATCTGTACAAGAGCTCTTCAGACTGGGGCAACTGACAGTTGGTACATGCTAACCCTCAGTAAGTCTGTGTATAGGAAAGTGAAATGTACAGGTGCATCTCTAGCATTTTGAATGCTCATTTACTATGAGTGATTACCGCAATGCTGCTACCCTAATTTATATACTGATAGGCTGTAGCTATCCTAATACATCCGAGGCATGGAACAGACTGTTCTCACTATCAAGCTCACTGAAGTTGCAGAACAAATTCAAAAAAGTCAGAATATCTCCTGGGAATAGTCCCTGGTCTGAGCTAAATTCTGATATAAGATTTATTTATAACTCTACCAGAACTATTTTAGCAATTTCATAGTATAGGCAATTGAATTTCAGTCCCAGTAATTGTTTATTCCGTTGAGCTGTTAAATTTAATACTGTATGTGTAGCCCTTGGGTCTATGTGTGTGGAACCTTTCCTGTGGCAACCATTCCCAGGAGTGAAGTGTCTTTATACATGAGTCCAACAGCACAGTGGTTGTATGGATAGCAGATGTGATAAAAATGACTGAAAGGCTACAGAAATTTAAATAACTCTTACAGGTCCTGAAAATCTTGTTGATGGAACTCTAAAGCAGTTTGAAGTACTTCAGTGAATCCTACAGTTATAACTTAATAGAACTGTGGAAATACTTAGAGACTGTAGAGGAACTAGTGCGTGTTCAGTGAGTGCAGGCTGGTTTGCTGTGGCAGGAATGTCTTTTGTCTTACTTCACAGTTCCTTTACAATACAGAATCTTCGAGTACTCCTCACAGTGAAATGCACTGGGCAAGACTGTGCGTAGGAAAAAGAATGAAAAATTAATACTAAGTGACTGGGAATATTTTGTTATTATTTCTTCGTGTATTAAAAAATGTTTTAGTAACAGAAAAAAAATGGGATTTTAATATTTCCACTCAAAACTACATAACAAATATTCAGCAGCACTTCTGCCAGCAATGAAGGTGTTGTCATTCTTTGTTACAGGGTATCAGGATATCTTTTAAGCAATTTTCTGTGATGATCTGGAATAGTTCAGGTGTTGCCAACATTTTCGGTGTTAAGGTGATATACTGGAACAATTGGCTGTGGGTGCATGTAGCAATATTTCTTGCAGCCCTCTTTTGGTTTCATTTTCTAATATACCTGGAACAGTTAGTCCTTTTCTTCTCCACTCTTAGCCATCCTATCCATGTCTTAATGCGCAGTGCCATTCACTGGTAAAGCAAGCTGGTAAATTTGGGCAAAGTCCCAAACACTTACGGCATGGTGCCCTTTCTAAATGTGAATAAATCTGAAACATACTCTCTTGGAACAGAAGCCACTGCTGACTGTCTCTGTCCCATCTACTAAAATGTTAATACAGTTTGGTTGTCCTTCCTTTTTATGCGCAAGCATGTAAATTCTTTCTTCCTACATCTCTTGTTGCAATTCATGGTTTTGCTTTCACCAAGCCTGCTTCTATCAGCATTCATCTCTGTGTCATGTGTTAATTCCACACGCTAACCTTTTCTGCAGCTTGCTCTGTAACACATTTCCAAATAGGCAATACTTTGGTATTGCACATGGGCAGGAGCAACAGGCTAAAGTTTCCTCAGCTGTGCATGGTTCTTGACTGATTGTACCCTAATGCTTGGCTTTGCATTTAGTTCTCTGTTGAATCCTTTTGGAGGTCATCTGAAGTTTTATTGAGGTTATAACACGCTCCTTAAGAGGAGGCAGACTTTGCTGCTACAGACAGTGAAATAAGTAGGATCTGTCTGCTTGCCTTCTTTTGGCTAAGAGCATGATAAGACTGATTTTCTTGCTGCAATTCAGTACTGATAGTCAAGAAAAAGGGAGAGTGTTGTGGACCAGAAATCTCCATTAATTAGGCTGGAGGATGTATCACAGTAATACCAGTATCAGTATCACTCTTTGTATCAAGCAATTTCAAAGACTGAGATTGTGTTCTGAGAGCAGTAAGGGATATATGCAGGCCTATTTTGTAATACCTTGGTATTAAGATTTTAACCATGCTTGTTATTTGTGAATGTGCTGAGAAGGTGATTAATTGGTAGATTAAAAAGAACTCTTTGATCTTGGAGCATCTAATGCCTGCTGTCCCTGGAGACTGATACTGAAACAACTAACTTCTGTAAAAGTTCACCTAACACCAGACTTCCCTTATCTTTACGTGGGCCCTTTCATTAATTGAAGCAGAAAGAAATCAAATGGTTGTAATTCAGAGCCCAAAGACCCTCAGAGGTCGTAACAAGTAGCAAAGCAGTACCATGCTACAGGAAGGCTTCAGTTGTCTGCTCACCTCACTTAAACCCTGGCACAGACATAGAAATGGATTGAAACAGATGAACTCAGTAGTGAGAGTTGTCTCTATGCAGGGCAGGCATGTAAGGCACTAACACTGAAGTATGCAGCCAGCCAGCCTGGGGTTTTGAGAGGAATCTACCAGAATGATGTTTGTGAGTTCTGGTTTTAATGCAGTTGGCAGTATGCTCTCTTACAAGTCGAAAATTGCTACTCAGTTACCCATGTGAGGATGAATGTTGAACAGAAAAGACTCTGCACCTGGATACATTGTATCTGACAGTGGGGCTGATACATTGTATCTGACAGTAAATGCAGCTGGATACATTGATCTGGCAGTGGGGCTAAAGCAAATCTAGTGCTGGTAAGATGTATTAGCATGGGAATTCGAGGTGTCTGTTTCATTCATAGTTTGTACAAGTTGACAGTCAGTGTAGCTTTGGTCCTGAAATACGGGAGAAAGCTGAAAGAGAGAAGGTGATGTCACGGGTTTCATTTTCCTCTGCAAGAATGGTAACATCTGTCCAAGTTTTGATGCACAGCTGGGTGAAGTACAGCTTTCCATTGCCACAGCTGTTTGCTTAGTGAACGTGAGCTAGAGCCTTCAGTCTCTTAGCATGCTATGAACTCATGCCTTCACTAGAAGGAGACTTGAGATTTCTAAATTACTCTTTCCTAGGCTTCCTGTTGCCAGCAGGAACTTCACTTACTTTTATCATCAGAATGGTCTAATCTCAATCAGGGGTTTGTACCACTCTGCTGTGTTAAATTTTAATGGACTGGAGGGGAGGGTGGCATGGCAGCGTGTGTGTGTGTGTGTGTTTGTTAAAATGTGAATGCTCTCTAGAGCATGCTCTAAAACATGCCCTTTAAACAGACAGCTTACACAGTTCTGCATATGTATCTTATTTGCGTTTGGAACATTTGTGAACATACAGAAAAATCAAATACAGAAGGGTAAGGCCAGTGAAGCATTTTGCCAGACTAATAGCGCATTTAAGCTTTAGCCTCTTCCTGTAATGGCAAGGTGTAGTTGGCATTTGTAGGTTCATCTCCAGGCACATCACTTGTGCTTCTTGCACTGTAGATGCTTCTGGCATATCTGGCAGCTCGGTCACTGACATTTTGGTGAAAACTGTAAAGCTCCCTCTCAGAGCTCTTCCTGAAGAGATCTGGCTGAGATGTGAGAGCTAATGACTGGAGATGGGCAGGAAGCTAGATCAGATGAGATAATAGTCTTTTCTGACCTTAAAATCTTGCAGTAAAAATAACAACAATAAATCAAAATACCTCAAAGTTTCAAGTATGACTATTACAGACTAAAATTTACTTTGCTTGCTGCCACGCTGACGTTGAGTTTTAAAAGCTTACTTGGTTAATTCATAATGCTCAAAGGATTGCATATTATGAATGCTAAGTCTTACAGGTTCTGAAGACAACATAAAACTTTTCTGAATCCTAGACTTTAACTGCAGTGCTTATACCCCTGCGGTTTTGATGTTCTGAGTATTACTTCGATCACCTTTTTATATAAAGTCTGTCAATCAGCATTTAAAAATAGTTTTTGCTTAGAACATTACCTCCTGTGGCTGACTGCTTGTGCACACTGATATTAGTTCTTCATCATGGAAGTGGTCATTGGGGTGACCATCTACATAATCAGGACATTAATTTTGTATCATAATGTTTAAATCAGGTGAGAATGAGTACATGCATTTTCAAATACTAAAACTAAGTTGTGAAATAAAACCACTTTTTTTTTCCTGCATTTACTGACTACATTGCTGCGTTTTCATGTACAAAAGGCATAGGATCTTCTGTTTGCCTTTGGTCTTGCTATAAGTGATGTGCTCTCTATTTTTTATTTCTCGTTGTTTATCTTTGTGCTCTGTCTTGCAGATTCAGCAAAGATGGGCAACTGAGACTTGAAGTTGAAATAGAAAGCAATCATTATTTAGTTTTTTAACACTGAACCTTCCTGTCTTATTGATCTATAGCTCATTGATTGATTGAAATAGATCACATGCCTCCCACATCAGAAGCTGAGCTGTTGCTACCTGCTCTGGGGACAACTGTGTCCTGTTCAGGAAAGCCGTTATTGGAACAAGCTGGGATGAGTTATCACATGCATTTATTGGACATTCCAGAATGAAGGATGAAATTTTTGCCCCAGTGAAGTCAGTAGGAGTTTTAAAATAAATTTCAGTGGGGTTGTGTGTTCATAGAGGCTTCCCATTTCCAAACCCCTGGACATTCAATGTCATGCTATTGCTCTAGTATAAAGAAGAACTGTTCAGGCCCATATGAGACAGAAAACACAGATTTAAGCTGCCCAAAAGATCATTTCTATTAATCAGAATCTCTTCAACATTTATTAGGAATTAGGTCATTTTGTAGCTTGGGAGGTTAAAATTAGTTTGTCACATCTTCCATGTAGGAGCACCTCCTGCTGGACTGCCCAGCAAAAGATCAGAATACAGATGGCTTCAGAATGCCAAGACTTGGATTTAATACTCACAGAGTATTAACCCAGGACAGATAAAGATGTTTCCAAACTGAAGTTACGAGGATTTTTGTGCTTCATGGACTCCCAGGCATTCCTAGGATCTCATTAGAAATGTGTTAATAATTAATATAAATCACCCAAACCTGGATTAATAGACTGAACATTCCTTTCTGTCAGAAACACAAGCTATCTTTATAGTAGCAATCTTACCTGCTTAAGAAGCTATTTTGTTTTTTAATGGGGTTTAACCAATATCCACAGGTGAAAATTTCCAAAAGGACTTGGAAGAAGGCGAAGAACCAACTGTGTAGTTGTAGTAGTTCCATACTGTGTGTAGAAAGGTGAGTAAATACATCTGTATACAGCCATACATTTATGATGTACACTTCCTGTATTTAGCTTTGGAAAATGCAGAAGCACAATCTCCTCCATTCACATGTAGCATACTAAGCATCATTTGAGCAGTAGCTAACACTATCACACTAATAGCAAAGCAATATTTGAAGAAAATCTGTTCACTCGATTTTCATTTCATTCCAAGGTGTATGCATATATAGTGGGTATCTCAGGATTCATCTTTCACACCTTTGCAGCCTTTACTCTTATATCAAGGAAGGATTGCAAACAGGCTGTATAATCCTCATTGCTGTGATATTATTATGCCTGTACAGAGAAAAGCTTCTGAGCACATGAAACGATGTTTTCTGGGCCCTATGGTTCCCCTGCATAGCTTTATCATTATTCCTCTCAAATGTTACATTTTATGCTGCTACTTTCTGACACTGAGATTGTTATCTGGGTGAAATCAGCCCACATCCTCCTAAGGGTTAAGGAGAGGGCAAATGTGTTAGCTTAAAAGATGTTCAGTGTCAGTGCAAGCATGGAAAGCAAAGTCAGTAGGTGCAAATCACAATCACTTGTAAAGTATAAAACTCAATGCATGAGAATAGTAATGAAACATTATTTACAAAATATTAGAAATACAGATTAATTCTTTCTGTCACCTTGGTTTAAAATCTAATGAATGTACACCAAGACAAAATGGCACTTTTCCAGAAACCCATCCTGTCATGTGTTCACCCTCAAGTCTTTCACAATGATTATCTCAAGGTCCAGACTGGTGTCTGTGTCAGGCAGAGCAAGCAAAACGACAGAGACTTCCTCTATTGTTCTCTGGAAATTGCTGTGGCCTCTGCAATGTCATTTGCTCTTTCCCTTCCACTTGAACTCTCAGTTCCTTCGCCAGCACTCTGTAGCCATGTCCCATCTTCAGTAAGGGGAAGCTGTGATAATGAGGGGACAGATGGGATTTTCTTCATGAACTCTAATCTCTTTCACTTTCATTGGTGACAGGTGGTGGAATGAATTCAGTGCTAACGGGAGCTCCTGAACTACCGGGTAAAATTTAAATACCTGGCAGAGGAAAATTATCATGTGGTGAAAGTACCAGACTTTGGTTCAGGAGCTCTTCTGAAGACTTCTCTTTGATTTGTGGCATGACACTTAATCTTCTGTGCTTCATCCATAAAGTGGGGATAATATTGCCTTCTTTTCTTAGTCCAAGAGAGGGTGATGATTCACACAGGCTAGAAAGGAAAAGACATACAAAATTATAGCTTGAATTTCAAAAGGCTCATATTAATGCACTGTGCAGAGGATCTGGAGCAATATTGAATGAATTATTATTGTTTTCACGTCCTATGAGCCATCATTTCTTTTCAGCCCTTGAGCATCCCAAGTTTCTGATACAAAGTTTACTCTGAGCAAACACCTCTCAGAATTGCTTTTATTTCAGATTGAAGGAGAGAAAGGGGAATAAATGTATTAAGGAACTAATAGAAGATCAACATGAGAGAGAAGGCAGAAACCATTCTCTTTATCTCAGCCATTTTGAGTAGCTGTTTTGTCCTGTATGGAAACAGAGAACATGGGACTGCATTATTTAAACAGATGCAAATGAAACAGAGAATCAGGTGGCCCGCTTACACCTCCAGAACCAAGAAACCAGTATTTTAGCACAAATCTCCATCTCTCTCTGGGGCAGCACTGTATCACTCTTTCTCATAAAGTAAGAATTGTCTGCTGTTCATGTGTGAACTCCTGTCTTCTTTCCTTGTCAGCCAGGTGAGGTGGAGGTCTGCAAAGGGAGGAGGTGTCATTAGGAGTGCAGGGGGGCACAGGCTGATGACCCAGACCTCCCTGCCTCTAAGATGTGTGAGTGCAAGAGAAACAGGTTTGGCAGATGGCTGCTTCCTTAGTCGTGCAACAGGGTAACTTCACAACTCCACTGGGGAGGTCCCTCAGAAGAAATAGCTTATTCCTTCATGTAGAAAGTATACTGTCTTCCCCCTTCCACCCCAGTTTCCCCAGAAATGCCCTAGTTAGTAGAATTTCTTCATCCATTTAATCCAAATATTTTTTGTCCTGTTTCCTTTCACATGAAACCTGGTATCTTATGTCTCAATGTTTTCAGATGTTGGGACTGAATGGTTTGTATGCTCTTGGATATTGAAATTACTTTTCTTTCTTTCATGGTAACCCTTCCATTATCATTTGCTTTCAACTACTCTCTAAAAAAACCCTTTCACTTCAGTGCTGAAAGAACTTGCTAAATGTCATAAAATTATTTGTGAATTTCTAGTGAATTTTCTTGAGGAGAAAAGGGCAGTAAGGGTCAGAAGAATGCTGATAATACATGACTCGTCTGTGTAAGGCTTTTATAACAAAACTTGGAATCCAGTCAAAAATAGATTGCAGATAATACTCTTATTCCATGAAGTACAAAGTTAAAAAGGGGTTAGTGCTCTTGTAATCCAGCTTACTTGTGAAATTTAGGAGTATTATAAACTCTGAACAGTTTGTGACAGATGTGACATTTCAGTGGCCTTGGCACTTTCAGAATAAACTTTGCTAAAAGCCACAACGGCAGGTTTTATTTTGTGTCTCTTCCTTTCTGATACTGGGTGGAAATACACAGATATTTTTTTCTCTTTAGAAGTTTTGTCTCTGATCATCATTCAAGGACCTTTGAAACCTTATATGTAAGACCGAATTAACCAAGAATATAATTAGGAAAATCAAACATTGCTTAGTATAAAAATGAGTCTTTTTCAGTTCATTTTCTTAGCATATGCTCTCATGCAGTGGTTATGCCTTGTGCAGAATGTGGGTGCCAGGGGAAGTGACCACAAGCTGCACAAAGAACAAGTGGTATTTTCTCTTTTGTTACATCCTTCCGGTATGTAGGTTGTGATATGATGTATTAATAAAAGGAAGATGATCTCCTACCTGTAGGTAACAGGCTTTAGCCAAGGACTATGCAGTTCAAGTCTGAGGAAGCTCTGTAGTATCACAGATGGATAGAGAAAGATGCAAAATGGCTTTTGCATAACTACATGGATAGGAGGGTGCAGATGACTGTTTTCTCTTACCGTCCCCTTGTTTAGCTGAGAACTCTGCATGGTGGTTGTTCCCTTCTCACCTTAGCTTCTTAACAGTCTCTATTTCCTCTTTATTGCTATATTTTTGATAACAAAAAGGATTTTCCTGATCTGTGGGGAGTTTAGCTGCAACATTAGTTTATTAAAGCTAGAAAAATGCGAGTTTTTCTTCTTTTTATTAAACTTCTGTGGAATGGTTCTTGTCCTTGCTACTGTAAGTCTGTGTAGTGTCACATGCTATTTCATCTAATAACTCTTCATCAGCCTTGTACACACCAGCTCATTTTTAACTGCAAGCAAACCTTGTATCTGCAGTGAAGAGGATCACTTCTGCATATGCTTTAGCTCAACAAGAGAGTATACAAGAGAATAAATACATCTTAAGTATATACATTTTATTTATTTATTTTTTTTTGGCAACAGCTTTGCTGGGAAATTGCAGCATTCTGAAGCTGGTGAGGAATTTCTCCCCATGTTCATGTTATAAAAGTGGTGCTTGGGCAAAATGCACTTACATGAGAGAGGGCTTTTTCTTTGAGTACAGGCTTTCTGGTTTCGTCAGGGTCTGGGTTACTCAGTGCTGAGTGCAACACTTCTTACTGTGATCCAAACAGATACGCTGCTAGGAAGCTTTTATGTTGCAGTGTTCAAATAACAGGTCACTTCTCATTGAATGTTTCTAGCCCTAATTTTAATTAAAAATCTACACAAGATTTTCTTTTCTATTATTTTTTCTGCTTCAGGCATTTGTTGTGAGAAAGGTAGAAGATGAAGGATTTCAGATAGCCTCTCTTTGGAACAGCTTGTAAATCACTCTGTAAACTTACTTATGTTTAATGCTTTCTGATGGCAATAGCTTCAGCTTTGTAGACAGATTAGTTTTGTTTTCCCCCAGTTTTCCTCCTGTGGATCTTGGCACTTTGTCACTTGGTTAAGAATACTTACCAAGCTCATGAAGAGCAGGCAGGAGCTGCAGGAAAGCTGGCTGTGTATCAGCTGGTAGGCAAAGTGCTTGTATGAACATCCTTGTCCCCAGCTGCCTGGCTCAGCCAGTATTGCCTGTGTGAGGTAGAGGGAGGAATGAGAACTGCAGCTCACCTTCTCACACTGTTCTTGGGTGCTATTGTGCAGACCCACCACTGTCAGCCATTGTGGCTTAGCTCTGCAGACGGAGTGGGGAAGCTGTAGTGGAGACTTGGGTCCTGCCAGCCTGGTTGAGGAGGTGGTGAACACTTGCAGCCATCTTAAAATGTTGCTGATAAATCTGCCCATGTTCTCCAAGCAGATCTGTGAGCAACCCATGAAACAGCATTGCTGAAATAGTCTAAGAAATGAGTCTGTTCTAAGACTGTTCTAGGTACGTAGAGTCACACAAGATCACTGATACGCTGCAAGGTCTGCTTCTTGACATAGGTGTGTCTATGTGGTAGACAAAACCCCAAGTTGTTATACTTTGTGAAGAACACAGCTGGCCTAGCATCCAAAATGGCCATTTTAATTCATTCTAATGAATATTATGCATGAAGAAATTTTGGATATAAATGAACACATTTTATGTCCTTATAAAGTTAGTGTTACATTTGTTCTTAAAGCTTGAAAAACTTGTTTGTTTAATGTGGCATTGTTAGTTTAAAAAGCAAGCTAATAATTAATGATAGCTTTTAATGCAATAGCAAGCATCTTAGTTTTCAGGAACAGATAAAATAGTACAGATAAATGCTACCTACCTATTAATTTCTGGTTTAATATACACCAGGTTCTTGTTACCACAGTTATGTCCCTCTTCATTTCCATTTGAAGTTGAAATATTCCAATCCACTATGCTTGCTTGCTATGTCATCAGCCTGGAACAGCAGGATGTACTCTGTCCCTGGGAAGGACTCTATCTGTGGTGGGTTTACACTGAAAAATGAGAGAAAATATAGCAAAGTATGGTAAGGACAGCCCATCATATATTTCTGTACCAGAAAAAAACCCAAACAAAACACCTCTGCAAAAATCAAATGAGCCCTCTCCTTAGAGCTCACTTAGCAATTTATCAGAAAAACAAATCTTTTACATGGGAGGATTTTGGCTTTCTCATGTTTCACTGGCAGTGTTAAAGAATTACACAGGGTTTAAAACCCATGTAGGTCAGTTTAATCGACCCAGTGTCTCAAGATTTCTGTGTATCGGGTGTATTTTACTGGTACTTTCTTTAGGGTAGAACTGTATCCTAAAGAAAGGGATCAGCTTGGACAGACTGGCAAGGCTGTCATTCAAGAAGCATAAACCTTCTCCCCTGTGCAATTAGGGAGCACAGTCACTACTGACCGGCTAACCCTGCCAGTTACGCTTCATTGAGGAGTAACTTGTCAACTGTCACTTTTTAGCTTGAAAACTAGAATTCCCGAAGGCTCTTTAAGATAAGTAGCTGCTGCAAGGAGATTTGTTTCCTTCAATAAAGAACCTGCTGAAAGTCAGAGCCACGGGGTTACTGGGTCTTCGAAGGCTCTTAGGGCTCAAATCAGTCGTCAAATAGGGGTATTCCTGTACGCTTGGTCCAACAGCAGCAAGCCAAAGGTACGGTGGTGGTTCTTTGGCTCTGAGAGAGTGACAGCAGGTTGGGGGATCTTCTTACTGAAATTCATTTCGTTGTTTTCTCTTTCCTTGAAGAACAGCAGGAACAAAATAAACAGCAGCAAACACCATTCCCCGTCCTGCTTTTTGGAAGGACTCCCCTTGGCTCAGAGTCTGTGCTGCTTTAGGAGTTACAGCTCACTCCTCAGAGCTGTAGTTCTGTCTTCACTGAGCACCTCTGAAATAGTGTAGGAATTACATTACCTGTTAGCTGTAGGCTTCTCTCTGACCTCTTGTCTCAGGTGGTAGCACCAGGCATCCTCTTTTGTGATTTTACCATAGAGAGGAATTTAATCTGAGTGTTTAGTATTCTTGTATTTAAATGAGATCAGTTAACATATTTGCTTCCAGCTCCCATAGAGGAGGACCATTAACACCTCATTGCTTACAATGTATCTACAAAACTCTGTGCATATCAAGTAGTATTGGAAATTGCCTTTGCTGGCAGATTAGCCACCAGGCTGTTGTTACTGATCCTGAATTCCAGTAGGCTAACGGAAGAGTTGCATGTGTAATATAGTACATGATCAACTAATGCAGCTGGCTGGATCAGCTGTATTTTGTTCTTGAAGCACGGACTTCTCTGAAGACCTGTCTGAAATAGGCCATGATTCTGGTTTCTGAACGAGGAAAGGGTTAATGCTTTAGGGGAAGGTTCGGAAGCCAGGATTGACAATAGCCTGCTAAGGAGTGAGTTTGACAGCCAGAGAAACCACAAACGCAAGACAGTGAAACTGTAAGAGTCAATAATTGCAGGACAGTTGCCTATTTTTTAGCAATTGTCCACCAATGAATGTGAAATAAAAGTCCCCAGCACAGAGACTGTTGATAAACTTTTAAGGCAGAGACTGTAGAACAACTTCTCTAACTAGCAGTGTGTCTAATGTTTATTGCATTTGATGGTAAGCTTGGAAGTTTTGTTAATAAGATGGTCAGGAATCAGTCAAACAGAAAAAATATAGCCTGGGGGGAAAAGCACCTTTTTGTTCTCTTGTATTGGTTTGAATTTTCTCCAAGTGAGTAAGTCAAGCAGAACAGGGAGTCTTGAAAGCATTTGTTCTCTCGCTCCTCTAAACTTGGCTGCTTTGCAGTGCTAAAATCCCCAATCAGCAGCTGAAGAGGTGAGATTTAAAAACTGGATACAGTTTGAATTAAATCAGCATTTCAAAACCTGAATTTCAGTGTTTGTGTGCTAGAAATGAGAGAAGCTACTTGTACCTACTTTAAAATAGCTTGATGATGTTCCCTTCCTCCTAAGTGTTGGATTTATGTTGTATTGTTATTCTTCAAGGATATGGCACTTTTCACTTCCCAGGTGTTCTCTAGTACTTTCAGGGTTTTAAAAAGCTGTTGTTTTAGTTCTAACAATCCTCAGCTGGCTGGAATAAAAGAATGATTTTGGATCCTTTTAAGGAGAGAAAGAGAGAGGAGAGGGAAGTGTTTGTACCTTCGTGTTTCTTGATGCGTAGCATGTGTAGACCACTATACCTGTGTTGCTGGGTTTTCTCTGGCTTTCATGAGGAAGTGGAGATGTGCTGGGGAAGCATGTCATCATCTTCTGCGTTCCAGTTCAGATCTCTCATAATGTGCCGTGTGAAAAAGGAAAGGGAAAACTATAAAAACCTGAAAACATCCTTTAACTAAGTTGGTCTGAGTAAGGTGCAAACATGACTGCTCTATACCATGTTAGATGTGGTTGTATTGCCTGCTGTGACATGACTCTCAGTCGCCTGGTGCAAATTGATGCATACTCTTCATTGCTTTCCTGTCTGGACTGTATTGCGTCCTGAAACAAGCAGTTCACAGGTAAAACTGCCCTGCTGCTTTATGGAGCTGTTTTACAGAATACAATACTACACTCAAAACGTTGTTGTCATCAGAATTACCTAGATTAACCTAACATCTGTGAGGAAACGTAGCGAGGCTGACAGCTTGTTTGCTAATCATGAAATAGAATATTGTTAAAACTGGAGAATGGGTCGTCTTTGATTAGCTGGCTTAAATATATGCTATGAACAACATCTAATGCAACGATCAGTCATTTTGTGTTCGTCTGAGTAATTTTAGAAGTGAAATAAAATTGACTTTTATGGGAAACAATCATACAGGAGATAGCTCTATGCGTGTGGTTTAATTGTTGCTGCTTTTCTCTCTTTTTATGAGGTTTCAGAATATTATGCCTTTTTTACAACAATTCACTGGTGTGCTGGGGACCAAGGCTTTATGTACAAAGAAGAGTAACTGGATAAGAGCCAAAAAGAAAAACTCACACACTGTTAAATTTATAGCCTACATGAAACAGATAATTCTCTATTCTGCTTATTAACCTCTCCTGCAGTCTAGTTTGCATTCAGGAAATGAAATCCCATACTACTTAAAGGGCACTGTGTTACGCAGTGTAATAATGTTAAAATACAAGATGTGTAGCTTGGTGTCAGGAAAAAACAATAAAATCCCTCAAACCCAAAGGAATAACTGACTTGTCGTAACAAACACAGCAAGCGCATGACTTGGTTTAAGGGTCTTTTCTGGCAGCTGACAGGTCATTTCCTCCTGTCATCCCTTATGGTTACTTGCACCCTCACTTAAAAAACTTATGGCCGAATATATCTTGGTACCTACATGCAGTGCAGTTCTGAGGAGTGGTAAGCCAGCACAGGGATAATGAGTGGTGGTGTTTGGATGTTTGTTGGTGTTTTTGGTTGGTCCGGTCTGTTCAGGTAGTTTTTGTTTGCTTATAAGGTTAATAATCTTATTTTCATTTTGTAACTAAATATTCTGTACTGAGTGATATTGCCCACACATTTAATGTTTTACCAAACCTCCCTAGAATAATGTGTATTCTAAAATGTGACTGTCACGAGCCTGCTGTGATTATTTTCAAGGTAATTCTGAAAAGATTAAACTTGCTTAAAGAAAAACAAAGTAAAGGTAATGACACCTCTTCTACTTCATGACTAAAACCTGTTTGCACTTTGTATAAGAACTTCACAGTATCTTGCAAGGTGAATCAAAAAAATGATGGAGGTTTGCCAAAAGCAAACAAAATGCTTGATCACCTCATTCTGGGGCTGTGACTGTTGCTCAGGCGGCTTCCACAGTTCTGTGTAGAAGCAGACAGGTTCGTGGAGGGCACATTTCCAGGCAGAAAGGGAACTAGTAATTTATACCCCAATGAAAAATACTGAGAAGTGCACAATGAAGTATTTCATAGTTTCTTGAAGAGGAAGAATTCATTATGTTTTCTTCAATACTTATTCAGATTATTCCCTTCAACTAATTATTTGCTCAGAGATGCTTTTGCATCTTCAGTGGAAGCACACGAAATATCTCCCTGGGTGGTTATATTGGTGTTTGTTTAGGGTAGATTCCTGTTTGTCTTCCAGATGTCTTCATCTCTGCTGTTCAAGGAGAAGAAATTAAGAGTTTACTCAGGGACTTTACCTTTGTCTCATCAAAGAATGCTGACTTTACGAGGTTGAGAAAGTAACACAACAATCAGAAATGCACATTTATTAAATGTAAGTATTAGTATTCATGTGGGGTTGAGAAAAGGGAGGAGCGCTTACAGTGTTAGCAGACCAATGTCTCAAGGTTTTATGTTTCTCTCTGAACATGTTTTAATTTTCAAGGGCCCGTGGTAGAAACGTATTATTCAAAACAGGATATTGGGCAAAACTTAAGTAAGCAAAACACTACACATGTTGTAAACATTGCTTGCAAACCGTAACTGGAGTTAGAAGAAAATTGCCCCTTATATAATTGCTGGAAGGAGAAAAATAAAGAATCCTAGTCTGTTTGTTTTTATTTTCGCTCTGGAGCTTAGGAAACTGACATGGCTGTATCCCCATGCTCAACTTAAACCCCGTCTCTCTTTTTACCAGAAGGGAAAGTGTACTTACGAGGATATTTCCAGGTTTTGTGATTAGCTGATGTCCGTTGGAGGCAATACTGGAGAGAGTTGGCATTGCACAGCCAAGTACTCAAACATGGCAGCACATGCCCAGAGCACACATCCATGCAGCAGAGCTCCTGCTGCCCCTTCCAAAGCCTGTCAGAGGGTGACTTTCCCAGAGCTTGATGATGTCTGGCCTTCCCAGAGCCTGACACCATGGGTGTCCTTCCCGGAGCCTGATGGAGGCAACAGCTGTGTTGCTTCCAGCTTTTCTGGAGCTGGAGACATTTGCTGATTCACCCTTGACAGAGGGGGCATGGGGACATTTTGCGATTCCCCCTTGTCCCCTTCTTGACAGCAGATGTCTGAGAAGGGAAAGAGCAACCACTGCTTTAGTTCAGAATGAGCTGTCTGAAGGAATTGTGTTTATTTTTTCTTCTGTTGTGGCACATAAATGGAAAGGGGTTGGCAGCACTTATCGCAGTAGAAAGAGCAACACTAAAAATTACAAAAGAGGACTTGACAAACATGTAAAGTGGTTTTTAATTTCAGACACCCTGGAGCATGATGCATTTGAAAATTTTTAATTGAGAGCTTGAAGTTTGATAGATTTAATTGTGAAAGATAGTTGAAGTCCTGAGCCCAATGAGAACAAACAAGAATGTATAGCATTTTAAAGCTTTCTTTTAATGTTAGAGAGCCACCCTGTGCATAAATATGCCTTGTTTGTATCATTCGTGCTGTGACCCCTCCTTCCACAAGCGACTGAGTTCATCTCTAATTTTCAAAGCCTATATTTTTGTGTCTCGGAAGCTGTAAAATCACATATTAAAAGAACATGAGTGGGGGGATTCATAAGCCTCAGGCCAGGCGCATAACCACAGGAACCACACAGGGCTTTTGTGTCTGCCAGTATGAAGGCCAATAGCGCTCCGTGTAAGTACCGTGTGTTGTCAGCTGTCAAGTTAAAACCACTCCACTATATCCTGAACAGGGTTTTTACACATTTCTTCAGGAAAAAAAAGAGTTTGTATCATCTGTTGGTTTGGGGTTTGGGGGGGGGGAGGGTGTTGTCCTTTCTTAGGCTCGCTTTATGAATACATTTATTTCAGTAATTCTTTCAGTTTTATTCCAAGTTTCCAGCAGACAAATTTCATATATATATATCATCATCTTACTTAAATACAGGGTTTGGGGGGTGTGTGTGTGCATGTTTGTCTGTTTTTATCATACTTGCATGGTGTGCTCAAACACCACTCAGTTACACCCCTGTTTACTCAAATAGGGAGATCTACAGGGATATATATAGGGAGAATTAATCAGGTCCATCTGTGAGTTAGCAAACTTGTGTATTGCTCAGGTAAATTGTGTATGCTTCATTTAGAAGGGGTTTTTATTGTTAGGCACTGTTAGTGCCTGGTTGAAGCTTGGAGAGCTTAGTGCTGATGATGATTCTGCCTACATGCATGTCATATAGGAAAAAGTCTCCTTCATCCTGGTCCCTGAAGGTATATCTATTTAGAGGAACATTTTTAATTACTCTTTATTATGTTGCAAAACTTCCTTTCGGCTTTGTAGAGACAGTTACTGGTAGAGAAGGAATCTTAATATGGAAGCCAGGAAAAATGATCAACTCGAGCTGAGATGAGAGTTAGAAATGCTGATGTGTAAGCAGAGTGAAAGACAGGTTTCTTCCAGTGTTAGAGACTGCTGGGCCTGTTACTGCCAATGTTACCCTGCTGCCTGCGGTATCCAGAGGGTCTCCAGGTGTTAACCCAAGTAAACACCTGCTAAAATAAAACTAAGCATTGTTAGAATAGGTTTTTTTTTGCTGGCTCTTCAGTTTTCAATTGGGTATTTTCCCAGACTTGTTTGATTTGGAGCTTGGAGGTTGATTTGTTTGGGTTTTTTTTCTTCTAAGTTTTATTATCAAGTGTCTCGTCTGTTCAAAATATTGGCAGGGAGATAGTTGGAAAAATAAATACACTTATGTAACAAAGAGATAATTGGTGATAAATCATCTAAATACAAACTTTGCTCCCACTTCCCAAATACAAGCAGCTTTTTTACAGCAGAACTTCATAGTTCTACTTAACCTTGCTTTGGAATAATCTAGGAGTAAAACATTGGTAATATCCTAGCATTTTCTCAATCACAATGGGATGCTGAGCTATGTGATTTTATATGTGCATCATTTTTCTAATACATACATATGCACTCGGGGTGGGTAAAAGTTTTCTCAAATGGGTTGAAAATAACAGTCATATAATAGTAGTATCTTATTCATTTATCTGTTGTACTTTTCAGAAGATCAAAGCTTTATAATTCATTGGAAATAAGAATTGCATGGTTAAGTTAATGTAGTGGGTTTGCTCTTCCACTGAGTACAAACATCATTAGAATTGAAAGATTATTACTGAAATATGGGCTTCACAGGATAACAAGGTTTAGGGTAGCTATTTTGCATAATATTCCTTTCAAAATGTAATTACTGAAAGTAATTTTCCTATGAATAGCTTGTATGGGGCTGGTCAAAATAACAAACTTCTTCCAAAGAAGTGGAATTGTTTCACTTTCACACATCAGCTTCTGAAGGTGGGGTACAGGTTTCTTGGGTTTGTATTTCTGTTGAAAATTCAAGACATTGGGGCGAGCGGGATATATAAGAAGGAACAAGTGGAAAAGGGGGGGAACTAAAATAACTAATGAACTTCTTTGTATTCATGTGCCTTGCTGGGAAACTGCTCAGCTAGTTGTGGAGAATAACCTGTTTGCTGTGGCATTATATGGTCTTACTTCCATGGAAATGACTTTGCCATTTTTATAGAGAGAAAGGTACGTATGTTTCAGTGATTAGTTAATTATTCTCTGTTGCCATCCTGCCTTTCTTACACTGTAAGTTAATTTTCTTTTAGCTGAATAGCCAATGAAAGCAAAGAATCTATGAAAAAGTAGTGGGTGGCTGGTAACGGAAGGAAGGAGAATTTATCTTCCAGTCAGTTGCATACTGAAAAATGCAGAGTTCTCTAAAATGTTACTTAGTTTCCTGGAGCAGTTGAGCTATACTTTTTCCTTTTAATTCTGATCTAATTTTCTATACTTTCTCTAGAAGTAAGGGACTCGAGGCATTAAAGCTGGTGTTGAAGTAGTTTAAGGATTTAGGTCAGGATTACATATATATACACACCCTATATGATGTATTTTATGCCCATGAGGAAGTGATAGGTATCTTTTGGAGTTGCTGGGCTCTTGCATGAAGGAGTTGAGATTTAAAGACTTAGTACTGGTGATGCCTTGTGGGATTCCCCCCCCGCCCCCAAGCCCCTATTTTTCCTATATAAATGTTCCCTTTTAATCATAACAGCTCTCCCTCTCATCTCACTTTTCTGCCCTCTTCACATAGATGGCTAAAATTGCATCACCTTAATGACAATTTAGGGCCACTTTTTAAAGATGTCTGGTTAATATTCCTCTAATAAGAGAGTTCTTTTTTCACACATTATAAATAGCCACCAAATCCTGGCCATTAGTCATTTGTTATCTACTGGTGACATTTTCTTAGAACAGTTGGCTATTTTCATGATCATACCTGCTCATCACACATTATTTCATTATTTTGACAGTTACATTGCAGCAGGAAAGATGTTTTCTTTCTCCCCATTTCTTCTCAAAGGACAGTGGCAGCTACTCAAGCAGAAAGCTGATGTTTCTGATCTCCTGGCTTTTTATCTTTGATAAACTGGCACT